AATCAGTCAAACAGAAACCAAAGAATGAAAAAATAGAAGAAAATGTAAAATACCTCATTGGTAAAACAAATTACCTGGAAAATAGATCCAGGAGAGACAATTTAAAAAATTATTGGTCTACCTGAAAACCAGGATGAAAAAAAGAGCCTGGACATCATCTTTCAGGAAATCATCAAGGAAAACTGCCCTGAGGTCCTAGAACCAGAAGGTAAAATAGTCATCAAAAGAATTCACCGATCACCTCCTGAGAGAGATCCCAAATTGAAAATGCCAAGAAATATTGTAGCCAAATTTCAAAATTACCAGGTCAAAGAGAAAATACTGCAAGCAGCCAGAAAGAAACAATTTAAATATCATGGAACCATAGTCAGGATTATGCAGGACTTTGCAACTTCTACATTAAAAGATTGGAGGGTGTAGAATACAATATTCTGGAAGGCAAAGGAGCTTGGATTACAACCAAGGATCAACTACCCAGTGAAAATTGAGCATAATCTTTCAGGTGAGGAGATGGACATTCAACGAAATAGGGGACTTCCAAACCTTCCTGATGAAAAGATCAGAGCTCAACAGAAAATTTGATCCTCAAAAGACTCAAGAGAGGCCTAAAAAGGTAAATAGGAGAGAAAACAACAACAACAAAACATGTTATTAATAAGGGCAAACTGTCTATATCCTTACAAGGGAAGATGACACTTGTAACTCTTGAGAACTGTATCATTATTACAACATTTAAAAGGGGTATATACATAGAGGGTGTAGGTATAAGTTGATTTTGATGTGATGATAAAAAAAAGTCTAATTATGTGGTGAAAAGGGATTGTTCTGGGAGAAGAGGAAAGGAGGAGGCAGACAAGGGTAAATTACATCACATGAAAGACACAAAAACTTATTACAGTAGAGAGAAAGAAGGGAGAGAGATGAGCATTGTTTGAACCTTATTCCCATAAGATTTGCCTCAAAGAAGGAATAACCTAATCAGTTAGGTACAGAAATTTAGCTTACCCTATAGGAAGTAGGAGGGAAAAGGGGAAAGAAAGGGAGGGGGTGGATAGAAGGGAGGGAAGAAGTGGTTGGTTGTTGTTCTTCATTCTTGCAGAAGACCAAAATGACATCACTGCACTAGAGTCAAGTTTCAGTGTGTCCGACTGTGGCTGATCAGATCAATATGAGGTTGGAATGCTCCACCGCAGGTCGGGCACAAATGATCCATGTAAACATTTGGGGTAGATTCTCTAAATTTGCACATCCTGCATTTTCTTTGAGCTGTTTCAATTCTGCTTTGCTTATAGCGGACAGCACCTTCTCTGATGTGGGCATGCCATGCTGAGCGGTCCTGTGCCAGTGTCTCTCCCAAGTCACACAATCAATTCCAAAGTTCTTAAGAGAGACCCTGAGAGTGTCCTTATATTGCTTCTTCTGACCACCATGTGAGCATTTGCCTCGTGTGAATTCTCCATAAAATAGTCTTTTTGGCAAACAGATGTTTTGCATTCTTACAGTGTGGCCAGCCCATTGGAACTGTGCTCTCTGAAGTAGAGTTTGAATGCATGGCAGTTTAATTTGAGAAAGGACCTCAGTGTCTGGTATCTTATCCTGACAGGTGATCTTCAGAATCTTCCTAAGACAATTCAAATGGTAGTGATTCAGTTTCCTGGCATGGCGCTGGCATACTGTCCAGGTTTCACAGGCATACAACGATGAGGTCAGCACAACGGCTCTGTAGACCTATAGTATGGCGGTCAGTCTAGTACCTCTTCTCTCCTATACTTTCCTTCGGAGCCTCCCAAACACTGAGCTAGCTCTGGCAATGCGTGCATCAACCTCATTATCAATGTGTACATCCCTGGAAAGAACATTACCAAGGTAAGTGAACTTATCCACAGCATTCAAAACTTTGAGGGCAGACTGAGGGAGGCAGTGGTTGAAAGCAAAACTCTAGTGAGGAGGGAAAGGGAGGAGAGAGAAAAGCATAAATGGGGAAGGGGAACAGGATGGAGAGAATGACACAGATAGTAATCATAACTGAATGTGAATAAGATGAACTCGCCTATAAAACAGAAGTGGATAGCAGAGTGGATTAAGAACCACAGTCCTTCAATATGTTGTTTAAAAACCCAGAAAGACTAATACAAACTGATACTGAATAAAAAGAACAGAACCAGAACACTGTACGTAATAACAGCCACATTGTACAATGACTGACCTTGATAGACTTAGTCCTTCTCAGCAATGCAAGGATCTAAGACATCTCCAAAAGTCTCATGATGGAAAATGCTATCCACATCCAGAGAAAGAACTATGGAGTCTCAATGCAGATCGAAGCATGCTATTTTCTTCCTTTTTCTTTCTCGTGGTTTTTCCTTTTTGTTCTGATTCTTCTTTCACAATATGACTAATGTGGAAATATGTTTAATATGATTGTACATGTATAGCCTATATCAGATTGCTTGCTGTCTTAGGGAGGAGGGAGGAGTGGGAAGGAGGAAAAAAAAAACCTTGGAATTCAAAATCTTAGAAAAGTAAATGTTGAAAACTATCTACATGTAAATGGAAAAAATAAAATACTATTAAGTGGGGGAAGAAAAGAAATATGTTCTTATAAAATTAAAGGACATGACAAAATGTGTCAGTATTCCTATGTGTTATCCTAGTTCCTCCCATTAGTTCTAATTATTCTTTACATCATGACTAATGTGAAAATGTTTAATATGAACATGTAACTAGAGCCTACATCAGATTGCAAGCTGACTTGGGGAGGGGGGAGGAGGAGGGGGAGAAAATTTAAAACTCAAAATCTTATGGAAGTGAATTTTGAAAACTAAAACTAATTTTTTTAAAAAAGGACCTACATGTACAAAAATATTTACAGCAGCTTTTTGTGGTGGCAAAGAATTGGAAATTGAGGGAATGCTCATCAATTGGGGAATGGCTGAACAAGTTGTGGTATATGAATGTAATGGAATACTATTGTGCTACAAGAAATGATGAGCGGGCAGACTTCAGAAAAACCTGGAAAGACTCGTATGGACTGATGCTGAGTGAAGTGAGCAGAACCAGGAGAATGTTGTACACAGTAACAGCAACACTGTGCAATGACCAACTCTGATAGACTTAGCTCTTCTCAGCAATACAATGACCCAAAACAATGCAAGAAATGTGTTTAACATGATTGCACATGTATAACCTATATCAGGTTGCTTGCTGTCTTGGGGAGGGATGATGGGACAGAGAAAAATTTGGAACTCAAAATCTTATAAAAAATGAATGTTGAAAACTATCTTTACATGTAATTGGAAAAAATAAAATACTATTTACTAAAAAAAAAAGAAAAAGAAAAAGAAATGCTCCCAGAGTTTCCTGTTACATCCAAATAAAAACGCTAGCATTTAAAGACCTTCACCACTTGGCTCCAGGATACATCCTACATCCCTCCAGCTTGGGTGTCTAACTGACTGATAAGTTTGGGGGTGTGTGAAGGAGCAGACCGGGATATTGTAAAGGGAGGTCAAAACTGCAGTTTGACTCCGCTCTGGAGCTGGGGATTCCCAAATAGTCAAGGCTTCAACCGAGTTCGGATACTTTGTGTTTTTTGCTTGGTGTTCAGGGTTGGACCCAAATCCATGTAGCTGAGCCCATTTAAGAGTCCCAGGTGATCCCAAATCAGCATTCTGGGATTTGGATGAACATACAAATCACAAGAACCTCTCAGCTTGGTGATTCATCATGGCCACAGATAAAACCGGCCAGGTGTTTTAGGAACATACCAATTGGTAGGTACTTAATACCTATCATGCTACTGTGTAATTTCAGACAAGTCACATTCCCTCTTTTAAGCCTATTTTCCCATCTGTAAAATGGGATTAGAATAAATCTGAGTCGTCTAGCATCAAATTCCATGTGTTTAGCTTATAGAATCTCCAATCTCCCCTCCCAACTTGGTGTACTAAGGAACCCCAAGTTTCTTGATCTCCCTAAACAACCAGATAAACCTAAGGGTCCTCTCAGCAGGAAGCACAAGCACAAGACTGCAGACCACAGAGGGGAAAGTCTGGAGACAACATGGGAATTGGTACTAGGTCAGGGTTTAAGGCTCAGTTCAAGTAGGCACTCTGGAGCCCCTGTGGGTATGACATTGATACTGCTCAGGATCCCAGCTTTTCCAGTCTCTTCCCTACAACACCAGGCAGGTGGAGGCCCACAGTTAGGAATGAGGACTCTGGCCCCTCGACAAATGCTAATGACAGGAAGAGATTCAAACACCATGATTTTTATTATTCACATTTATCCTCATTGGATCAATGAGTGGCCAGAGACAATTTTGCAAACAAGCTTCCGCTGATGTCCCGAGTCTTGGCTGAGGGGCAGTGCCAGCTTCTTGGTACTCTATAGTAAGCCGCATCTGGGGTCAGTTTGACAGCCAGTTTGGTAAAAATGGGAGAAAACATCAAGAATTCAGTGACACAATGGTTTCTCAGAAGCATAATTTGGCCAGCGTGTAGTTGAAAGAACATTAATTTGGATACACTTCAGGTTAGCTATCTCCCCAGATATAACTCCCTATAGCAGGAGGCTGAATACGTTAGTGAAGGCTTTGAATCCTGATACCACTATATGTTAAGGATATTGAGTGGAAGGTCCAGTTACTGCTGACCAGTTCCTCCTTTCTAGGTCTACACTATGCTGAAACAAATAGGATCCTGGTGGAGCTGGGCAATGCTATTCCTTGCTCTTTCCCTCCAAAGAGAAGACTGGCTTAGGGCTATTGAAGAAAAAATAAGGAAAAAGGAAGAAAAAAAGTAGTTGCCTCTTTTGCTCACGGTAGAGGAGGTTTTTTAATCCATTTCCTGTTTCTCCAATCCCTCAAGCCCAGTCAACTTCATATTCCAATTCAACTTCAAGGGCCTAAAATTTGCTGGTAGATAAACTGAGGACCAGGCAATCTTTTCCTGTAACCGAAACTTGATTTTCAAGCTATATTTGTAATTTTCTAAAAGTAGGACCAACATGGAGGGTGTTTTTTTTTGTTTTTTTTTTTTTTACAACACGAGAAAAGGCTTGACCAGGAATAATGGGACTATTTAATGTTCCTTTCCATCATCATTACCCAATTCAGTAAATCCAGGAATTTGGGATTAACCTGAAACCCCTTTAACAGGCTGCAGGGGTTGGGGTTGGGGGGGAAGGAAGAAGATGGAAAGGGCTAATTTCCAACAGCACCGTAAGATTTGCAATTGTCAGGGAACTTTCCAATGAAACCAGTGACTTGGGCCTTAAGCTTCTCAAACATCTATAATGTCCTTCTAACAACACCCTCATAGCCTATATGTTTTTTCATTTTAATTTAAAAGCAGTTGAGACTTTCCTTAATTTTGAGTTTCTAAGTTTAAGCCTCAAAACAGTCACATCCCTAGGCATGTTTCCAAAGAAATCCTGTCTGCTGCACTAATTCCAGGGGAAAATGTAGAATGAGAAGTTATTGGCTCGCACATTATTTCTTCAATATTGCATAGTTAAAGGGATGCTAAAAAAAACTGGCATTCACCCACAGTAATTAATAAAAGTAAACAATTACTTTACAGTTTCAGTGTTATTCCATTTCAGACAATTTACAATGACGAAACCCTTCAAACCCAAACTCCATTGGTTTTTTGTCCGTTCTCCTCCCCCCAATCTATTTGGCCATTTTCAGGCAGGAAGCGGGTTGAAGAAATCACATCTTAAGGAAAATGCTTTCAGCATATGTTCATCATGATGCCATTTGGAAATAGGACTTGGAATTAAAAAAAAATCCTATTCCTCTTGAAATTGAGTTTATTTTCATCTTAAAGGATGAATTTAAGTGAGGGCAGTGCAATGGTAATAAACTAAGAGTGGTCTTAAAATCCACTGTATAAAGAGCAGTTCTTGGCACCAACACTGGATGTAGAGACAGTAAAGATGCAAACAGCAATGAGGTTATTTAAAAAAAAAAAAGTATTTGACTCTTTTATTGTAAAAACCAACTCTCTGTAAAGAGCTAAAAGTTGGTGGGGAAGGCACTTGGCAGTGAAGGCTCCAGACAACCTAGTTAGTGACGGGGAGTTCTAAGCTAAAATATGCCATCTTTTTTAGCTCTTAAAAATAGAATCTGCTACGATTGGACACATTTCTAGGGCTCCATGGGGATGGAATCCTTTCTGAATGAGATCTGTAGTTTCCCAAGGCCCAGCCAAAACCCTGTAGGTAGAGTCACTGCACCAGAGAACCATGCCGAATGCTAGGGGTAGGCAGCCTATCGGCTGTCACTCTGAGGGGCAACATCAATAAAGCATTTCCCAGGAAATGTGCCTTTGAATTCAATGTTGCTTGAAGCCTAGAATACTGGCACTGGATTGTGCGTGGACATAAGTTTACTCAGTAAAAAATCCCACTGGAAAGAGACCTTAAGTGAGAGCCAGGGCAGACCCCACAGAAAGAAAAGGTGGTGAAAACAGACTTAACACAATAAGGCATGATTGCTTGGGGCTTGCATTGCCAAAGAGAAGGATTTGGTACTCTTCTTTTTGATGGAGAGTTCAACTGTGCACTTTTTGTTTTGCATAGAACTAAACGGAAGAAAGTTCCACTTGGTGCCAACAGTGATTTGTCTCCATCTTCCACGTGCTGAGGTTGCCGATCCGGGAGACCCCAGCAGGTTGTACGTCTGTTGCCTTTGGAGTTTATAAGGTATACATTGTTGGCCTCCCCCCACAACCCTTAGAAGGCATTACAGAAATTTTCCTTTTAGTAAACATTGAAAGCGACAAACACCACACACACACAATCACAGACTCCAGAATCCCAAGTTCTTCTTGTCACTATGCTCGGCCACATTTTTCCTCTTCACCTGTCTCCGGTGCAGGCCACTTTCCACGGGACTGGTGTGAAGAGACTGTAAACATGATTCCAAGTAGGTGGGCGTACACGGGTGAGTGTTCGGGTCACTGCCGGGGGACAGCGCTGAGGTAGTTTTGATAAATGCTCCAAAGTTGTTCTCCATGGAGGAGGATGTGGGGCTTGCGCTGTTGACTGAGGAATAGCCCGAGGTCACTTCTGTTCTGGACTCCCTCCTATCCTGAAAAAGAAGCCAGTGCTTCTCAGCATTCGTGCGGCTTGATGGCGGCGCGTCCCATTTAGAGTGGTCCTCTAGTCGGCTGTCTTCATCGCTGGACTCCTGACAGCAGTGCTGTTCTGGATCCAGATACACCACAGTTACATCGAGGACCCCACTAGGAGATGTGACTGTGGGAACAAAACAGAAGAAAGAGGCGACTGGTAGTCTTGGAGAACCAACAAAATCCCACTTGTAGAATTAAGCTTGTTGTAGGTAAGAATGTTGGATGCGCCACCACCTGACCCAGCCTCACCCTGGGTGCCTGGCCCAGGACACTGTCTCTGACAGAGGATGCTAAGGGACCTGTGGTGGGAATGAATGACTGTCTTACATGTCACTCAAAATTCAGGAGGGAGCATCCACACAGCCTTCATTGACCACAAAAACTCACCAGTTTTCAATTTACAATGAACGCAACTGTCCTTATTTTAGGAAGACAGACTTTCCGGATATTAGAGGCAGCAATCTCCATTCCGACCTTGTAAATGATAACCATAGAGCCCAGTAGCATGCAAGAGTATATTTGTTCATATCATTTGACTACCGATCGATCTACTGAGCAATGGATATTAATCTTTTTATTAGTTGTTTATATATATATATATATATAGATAGATAGATAGATAGATAGATAGATATAGATATAGATATGTATATATGTATATTCAGGTCTTACATTGAAATACTGATTTTTGGAATTCAAATTTGTCCTATCTCACACAGCACTGTTGAGATGTTACTGCATAAATATACATCCAGCTGAGGTTGTACAGATGGGAGGCCTAACCTGACCAAGCAGTGGCAGAGGCACAATTCTCAGTAGATATAACAATTTCTACCTTTCTCCAATGTTATTAAAATAATGAAACTTAAGCAATACGCCTCTTCTTCTAGGCATGAAAAAAGGCCAAGACTGCCATCACCAGGTCGGGGTTTAAATAGTGTTAGATACCTTTAAACAACGGTCTTGCTTCATGATCATTCAACATTTGAACTATTCAGCATTGAGAGGACACAGTGATGCTCATTAAGGTGACCATGTGTTAACAAAGGACACTTTTCCTCCCTCCAGTGTGAGGAACTGCTGACATGTGACCCGACACTTACCATCTCCTTCTTTCTCCCCTTCGCTTTCCTGGTCTCCCTCGTACCCAGAGCAGTAGTCCAAACTCCAATCCAGGAAGTTGCCCAGGAGAGTTTCCTCTTGGCTGGATAGTTCAGCAGTAGGTGTTGTTACAAAACTGCCCCTATCTTCCTGAATGCTGTTTTCCCTTCTTCTGAGGAAGGAGAACACATCCAAATTAAATACAGAGCAGGAAATATGGTACAGTGGAGACTCCCCCACAAACCAAAAACAAAACAGGAGCCCTGGCCTGGCACTGATCTTTACCAAGTCATTTACTCCCTCTGGTCCTACAGGGCAAGCACCACTAAGTGTTTGTTAAATGAATGTATCAACATCAGCCGTTCCTCCCCGTCTGCATTTTTTTCTGCTTACTGGAGCCAGACAGAAGTCACACAATCATGCCTACTGGGTCAACTGCAAATAGGTTATCTAATTTCAAATGGACCTTTATACTATTGCATGGCAGTCCTTATATTCTTTCCTGATGGACTCTGTGTAGTTATTTCCAGTCTTCTCAAACCTACTATGCCATCTCCTATCCCCTTTGCTCCCCCTCTCTCAAAAGATGCCCATACCTCCTACTTAACCAAAGAAAGAAAGACCATCTATTCTATACTAAGAGGCCCTCAAATCACCTTCTTCCTCATTCTCTTAGTTTTTTCCTCCAGTCCCAGTCTTGGACACTGAGGTGGCTCTTCTTGCTAAGGCCAACCCCTCTACTTCCCACCCTCTCTCATGCCCCAGAGAAGCTTGTTCTTTCAATCATCTTTTCTCTCTAGTTTTCCTTTTCTTCCCTTCTATTGAGATGATGCTATGTAAATGACAGGTGAGGCAGCACGGCATAGTAGCTAGCACACTAGACTTACGCTTCAAATTCTGCCTCATTTACTGGTTGTATCATGCCAAAGCTTCATTGAGCCTCCAGTGAGCCTTACTCAGCTGTAAAATGCATGGATATTCTAGTTTTTAACTCACAGTTGTTATGAGGATTACATGAGATAATAAATGTAAAATATTTTTAGAAACTTCAGTGTTATACAAATTAGCTATTCCTATTTGTTACTGTTAATGGCACTTTTCTCCATCCTTAAAGATCTTTACTTGAGACTACCACTCCCTCATGCTATCATCTTCTCTTCTCCTACCTTTATTTTTTGTTTTTGTTTTTAATGTCAAATGTTTATTTCTATGCCATAATTGCCTCAAGCACAATTTTTAAAGGAAAAGAACCAAAGAGGAAAGAAAACGGTTTTTTCCCCTCATTTTTCATGCTATTTTCTCTATAGCTAAAGTGGAGGAAAAGAAACATCGTGGTACCATTAGCATTATTGTTTTCATACTGTTCTAGAAAGCTGCATCTAAATATTTTCTGTGGATGTCATCCTACCTTTATTTTTTAAAATAAATTTTTGCCAATATCTTTTGTTTCTTACATCAGTTATCTTAAGTCTCCCCTCTCCCCAAAAGCCATCCCGTATCACAAATCGTATTTTTTAGAGAGGAAAGAAAAATCAGCACAACTGATTAATAAAAAATATGTGAAAATATGTGCCATGCATAACCATCTGTGGGTTCTACCTCCTCTAAGGGGTGGGGGCACCTCTCATAGCTCTTCATTTGAGTCCTGCTTAATTGAATTTTGTTACATTTACTTTTTTTTTTTGGAGGTAATTTGGGTTAAGTGACTTGCCAAGGGTCACATAGCTAGTAAGTGTCTGAGGCCAAGTTTGAACTCAGGTTTTCCTGACTCCAGGGCCAGTGCTCTGTCCATGTTACATTTACTTTCGATTTTTTGGTGTTGTTCTGTTTACATTGCTGTAGCTGCTGTGTACGTTGTCATCTTGGCTCTGCTTCAGTTCATGGAGATTTTTCCATGCTTCTCTGTATTCATCACACATCATTTCTTACGCAGAGTAATATTCCATTACATTCATGTACCACAATTTGTTTAGCCATTCCCCAATTGATAGGCATCTACTTTGTTTCCAATTCTAAGCTATCACAAAAAGTGCTGCTATAAATATTTTGGAATATATACAGACTTTCTTCTTGTTGATGGCTTCCTTGGGGTAAAAGCCTAGTAATGGTTCACAGAGTATGGACATTTTGATCATTTTATTTACATAATTGCAAAATGCTCTCCCAAATGGTTGTACCATTTCACAGCTCCACCAATACACTAGTGTGCCTACCTTTTCATCACACCCCCCCCCCCCCCACCATTTACTATTGCCATTTTTAGGCTCATTTTTGCCAATTTACAGGGTGTGGGATGAAACCTCAGAATTGTTTTGATTCGCATTTTTCTTCTTAGCAATTTAGAGCATTCTTTCATGTTGTGAATACTTTGCAATACTTTTTGAGAACGGTTTGATTTATATATTTACTTTGTTTACATATCTTGGATAACAAACCCTTATAAAAGAGAAATTAGACAAAATGATTTTTTCCTATTTCACCACTTTCCTTCTAATTCCCAGTTCATTAATTTTGTTTGTGCAGAAACTTTCTGGTTGAAAGTAATCAAAGTAATCTATTTTGTATTTGGTAAATGCATTTATCTTGTTTGGTTGAAACTACATCTCTTACCCATAGATGTGAGAAGTATATGATCTATTTTTCTTCTAATTTTTTTTACAGCATGATCTTTAATATTTTTATCTTATTTTTTATATTACTTTTTTAAACAATCTTTAATATTAAGATTGTGTATCCATTTAGAACAGATTGTGGAATATTGTGTAAGGTATTGGTCTGATTTCTGCAAGACTGCTTTATAGTTTTCACGGCAGTTTTTAATCAAATAAGGTATTTTCTTCTAAGTAATTTTTCACTTTATCCAACACTGGGTTCTATTGTTTCCGATTCACCTTGTTTAGTCTGATGCAGTGATCTATTATCTCTATTTTTTAACCAATACCAGATGGTTTTGATGACTACTGTTTTATAATTTAGTCTGAAGTCTGGAAGTATTATTCCCCCTTGGTCTCTACTTCTTTTTATTATGTCTCTTGATATGCTAGATCTTGTTTTTCCAAATGAATTTTATTACTTTAGCGAGTTCTGTACAGTATCACCCTGGCAAGTTGATTGGGATGGCATTAAAACTGTAAATTAGTTTTGGAAGTGTTATCTTTTTTTAATATTGGTACAGTCTAGCCATAAACAGAGTTTTCCCCCAACTATGTAAGTGGTTCTTTATTTCTGTAAAGAGGATTTTTTAATTGAATCTATACAAAACTTTTGTGTGCTTTAGTAGGTAGATCCTCAGATAGTTTGTGTATTTTGTAGTTATTTGGAATGTGATTTCCCTTTCTATTATTGCTTCTTGTGCTTTGATATATAGAAATGCTATTGATTTTTAAGGATTTGATAAGCTGCAACTTTGCTGAAGCTGTTGTCTCAGTTAGCATCTTTCCTAATTCCTTAGGATTTTCCAAGTAAACCATCAAATCATAAGCAAATAGAGATAGTTTTGTCACTTCTTTACCTATCTTTATGCCTTTCTTTTCCTGTCTTTTTGCTAGCATTTGCAGAACTATATCAAATAATAGTGGGGAGAGTGGGCATCTTTGCTTCATTTCTGTGTTTACTGGGAAAAGTTCTAGAGTATCTCTATTGCATACGATGCCTGCTTTTAGTTTTAGATAAATGGTTTTTATGATATTAAAATAAGGTTCCTCTATATTTATATTTTGTAAGGTTTTTTTAAGCATAAAAGAGTGTTGTATTTTGCCAAAGGCTTTTTCTGTGTCTATTGAAATGATTATGTGGTGGTTTGGGATGTTTTGGTTTTCAATATGATTAATTATGTTGATTGTTTTTCCTAATGCTAAACCATCTTTAACTTTCTGGTATAAATCCTACTTGATCATGATGGATGATTTCTTGGATAAATTGTAGTCTGACAGGATTTTGTTTAAAAATTTTGAGTCAACGTTTATTAATGATATTGGTCTGTAGTTTTCTTTCTGTGTTTTATCTTTCCCTGGTTTAAAAGGATTTTGACAGGGTGCTTTATTTCTCAATTTTGGAGAATAGGGTGTAGTTTGTATACTAACTGTTCTTTAAAAGTTTGACAGAATTCTATGAACCCATCAGAACCAGGAGTTTTTTCCTTTGGTAGTTTCTTTACAGCTAGATCTATTTCCTTTTCTGAGAAAAGTAGTAAAAAATCCATTCCTAAAATAAATAACACATTGACAGTATTGATCACAAAACAAACTAGAAGCAAAATTTAAAAAGTGGGACATATTCCCTCTGTTGAGAAAACAGAGCCTCTGTAAAAAAGGGCTATCAGTGTAGACATGAATCTCACTTACCTTTTGGTTCTCTTTCCAGAAGGTGAGTTGAGGAAGGTCTGAATTTCTGTTACATTGAGGGAAGAAGAAGGTTCTGTGTCCTCTTGCTTCACTCCTAATAACTTGCACAACTGGCCATAACCCATTACCTTTGAGGAAAAAAAAAAGGTAAATGTAATAGTGCTTCTTCATTCCTTTTTCATCCTCTTCAATGCCAAAACATGAAAGATACAAACACAAAGCATCTTCCAGTTTTTGAACAGGTGGGCAGGTAAGCTCAGTTATACACATTGCTCTCATATTTGGACTCTCTTAAATCAGACCCTTTCAAATCAGCACTTTTTAAACTGTGGGTCAAGACCCCATGGGATCGTGAAAAATTTGGCAAGAGTAAAAGGTTTCTGAATGTGCAGCAACCAAAAATTAATTAAAAATCAAACGTGTAATGAATCCGAGGTGTTTCTGGCAGCACTTGACCATGTTGCATTGAACACCTTCACTGCAGCCTTGGTTCTGAACATGGCACACTCACACTTGCACTCATGCCCACGAAGTTCCAATAAAAGCTGTTGAAACTTGAAAAGGGGTTGCAAGTGGAAAAAGCTAAACTAGTACTGTTTTAGATAACTGGTCAAAGACAAATAAGAGTACCTTTTCTTGGCCAATTCCTTCGTATCGTTTATCCTCAAAACGTTGTTTCACAGCTGTCAAGGAAACTTGCCTATAATCCTTTGGGGCATCATCATGGAAGCTAAGAGAACAAGGCAGGAGGAGGAAAAGAAGTGATAGGAGTCAAATGCAGAGAAGTGATTGTCCTATATTCATGGTTTTAGCCACTCCCATTCTAAAGACAATGAAAGCTTAAAAGTCAACATTAAACTAGATGGAAAAACACAGATGTTCTAAATGAGTTTGGGAAATACATTTGTTAGATTGGTACTAGACCCTTGACAATCATTTAAGGTCTCTCTGGAGTATGCAACTGGCTGTGAGAGATGTCCAAGTGCTCATCCAAGAAGGCCCCATCCCTTATCAGTTACCTGGGCAGGGGGGGAGTGATTAAAGGATGGGTGGCCTGGGAGACAAAGAAAGGCTAACATTAGTGTCTTTTTTTGGACCAACAATTGCTATTCTCATCGAAATTTCTAATTTGATTGCTGAAATGATTTGCTAGGTCACAATCTGGCCGTCAAAGAGTGCAGTGTCTTAGAGAAGAGGCTAAAAGAACCATAGCTCCAAGGTCTATTCCACTTAGCTTGACGGAATAAAACTTTGTAAAACACAGAAGCCATCTTCAGTAAGGGATTGATTATTTTTTATTATTTTTCTGCCTATTCATTTAGACTCCCTGCATTCATCACTGACACCAAAACCACTGGAATAAAGAAAAAGAAAACTTTCTTTGAACGCTAGGTATTATAGCTTAGCACCAATACAAACAAGCTTGTGTGCAGCACAACAACCTGTCCAATCTCAAAGGACGTCTGCTCCTGAACAAGTGTTTTCAGATCATTTTGGAAAAATGTTTTAGGCCATGGTGTTGCTCAGAAGTTGGGTAAACAATATCTGCATATAGTTCCTTTCCCTTCAAGTTACTGTGAACTTTTAAACTAAATTACCATTTTTTGTGAAGGCTCAAAACGCAGGGTATCAGGTCTTCATAGAAGAATCCAGTGCATTCCCACAACTGACTTGTCCAGGGATGTGCTGGGAAAGAAGGAGGAATTAGACAAAGTAGTAGAGCTGCAGCATCATAACACTTACTTCTCGAGGGCATTTTGTTTCTTAGTGCCAAGAGGTAGTCCCCAAAGACTCATGTGTCCTTATTGCAATCAAATTCTATCAGTAGCAGTGGCACTGCAGTCTAGTCAGTGTACATAGGCCTTACAAGAGCCTCTCTTCCCTGGCTCTGCTGGTGCAGCCAGAGACCTACAAAGCCAAATAAGGAATCAGAAAAGGGACTTCAATTCCTTGGGGCTGTGAGGTCTTTACAAGGATGGGCTATTACAGAATGACAACCCGCTTGTCATTAAATGAAGCCATAGAGAGATCACACCAGATGGAGAGCTCTTTTTAGCCACATTCCGATGCCCTCATCAAAACCTGCTCACCTGCTACCTAACTGTTGAAAGAAATGCCAAGAATCAGACGAATACTAAAACCAAATTATCAACAAGAAAATACTTCATACTTGGGGGGAAGGGAGAAATTACTGCAATAACACCATTCTGACAATATGAACTAGACACTGCAGATCAGTTCTTAATATCCCATCAGGAGGTTGCTATCTTGGCTAGATGAAGACTCAGTAATGCCTCTTCCCTTACTTTCCCTCTTCAGTATCTGCCATTGGGAATGGGCACGATTGCCAAGACCACCATTGCTCAAGTCAGGAATCGAGGTTTATGGATCAGTACTTCACAGGCCATTTCACCTGTCACTCTCTAGACCAAAAGGACATGAAGCCATATATGGGAGGCAGTCTGAGACTCCCCTCAGAATTCTATATGCACTTTGAGAAGGACAGAAAATGTAAGTAGATTGCCAAGAATATTATGGAGAACAGAAGTGTGCCACTGCTATCTCAAGGTGCAAAGTTGGGGGTAGTCTCATTACTAAATTGGAGGAGTAAAAAGATTTCTTTATTCTTCCTGTAGTGGCTGCAACAAGAGTTGTTTCTTTGTGTGGCAGGTGGGTGAAGGGGTAAGAAGAAGGAGAATGATATTCTATTCTCCCCACAGACCTAAGAAGATGAGCCTGAAGGGCTGAAAAAACTTCAGAGAGACTTAGGACTTGTCCAAGAAATACTTAAATGGGCATAACCACAACTCCCTTTTCACTCTTTATCCTGGTCCTGCCAGAATCTAAAGCTGCAGAAATCTCTTCTATTCTCAAGGTCTTTAAGTCCCATCATCCCTCTCCCTACCTACCTAATGATGATGATGGGAGAGTAAATGAACACAATAGTATAGCTGTAGCTGTATTTTGAGTGTTTCCTTATCTATCAAATGAGGAAAATAGCACCTGTACTACTTACCTCACAGGGTTACCTGTGAGGATCAAATTAGATAATGTATACAAAGAACCCTGTAAACTTGGCTATTATTATTACCCTAGAATATGTCTTACCTTGCCTATGCATCAACTTGGCCAGCAAAAGGGCTGCAGCAGCCAGATGGGCTGGGGAGTACACAGAGAGGCTTGTATACAACAGGGAGAGTTCACAGATAAAGCTGTACAGGTGAAGAGTTCTTCTCTCTGTCGGGATGACATTCACTAGCACTTCTTTGTAATCTACAAGAGTAGGAATCTAATAAAAGAGAGAACACTCCAATATATTAAACTTTAGATTTCAGATCTAAATAAATATCGTGTTCTGTGTAACTACAATATCCTACGATATAGAAAGAGGAGTCAGTCTCTAAGATGAATTTAAATCTGTCTTCAAAATACTTCATTTATTTTAGAAACACAAACACACATTTTGCTGCGTGGATCCTTAGAAACTCTTGTGGCCACATATTCAGCCACAGTAATGAGGGTCAACAGCAGCGTGCACTGAAAGGGGTCCTGCTTTCATCAGGGTGGGGTAGAGGGGGGCCTTACTGTGCTGATGCAAAGTGTAACTCTTTCTATATCTGAGCTGATGGTTTTCATTACTTCTTGTGGCCATCTCTGGTGATGAGTCTGTCTTTCTGCACTTAGCTAGGCTGGTCCTCAGGAGATATACACAGGCTGTTGCTGGCCCTGGACTCGAAGGCTTTCCAGATAGGTCCTTCTAGAGTTTTTTTGTTTTGCTTTTTGGTGAGGCAATCAGGGTTAAGTGACTTGCCCAGAGTCACACAGCTAGTGAATGTTACGTGCCTGAGGCCAGATTTGAACTCGGGTCCTCCTGACTCCAGGGCCGGTGCTCTATCCACTGTGCCACCTAGCTGCCCCTAGAGTTTGTACTTTATTGGCACTCTTTGAGAACTCTGAAAAAGGCACCAGAAAGATGACTTTAAAAATGGTCACATTCATGAAAAAGGAAAATTCATAGGATCATAAATTTAGAGCTAGAAGGGACCTTATGAGGTCACTAAGTTCAACCCCCTCACTTTAAAGATGAGGAAACTAAGGCACAGAGAACCTGTTAAGGGCCTGAGGTAGGATATGAACACAGATCTTACTATTTCAAATCCAGTGTCCCTCTTATAATGTCATGTTGATTTTCTACTTCATTGCAGTCTAGGCACTTCCTAGTGTCCCAAAGAAAAATATGGTGGGTCACAACCTTCCTTGGTACTGTCCTGTGAAATTAAGTCTAAAGGTGCCACTGCTGCATACAGGTCTGTACTTTGGACAGTAAAGTTACAGGGAGAAACTCTATTTTCTAGGTATTGTGAGTTCCTACTTAGCCCGAAACACCTCTTTTCCCCTACCAACACACACTGATCATTTCTGTGGGAACTCAATTGTTGATCCGGCCTTAACCCTCCCCACTGTAAGAAAGGCCCTTGTGTGACACCAGACTGGTACCAATCAGAATGCCAGTAATTATCCCCCTCATTGTATTATAATTACTCACAGAGAGAAGTACAATTTTAATTTAAAAAATCCATAACTTACTCGAATCTTTCCTTCCAGGGCAGAAATGATCTCTCCCATCATTCTTACTAGATCTTCATATTTATAAGTGTTATCTGTTAGCCAAACCGCTTCACGAATTGTCAAGATCTCTTTGCTTATGAAACTGAAATATGAAGAGATAGATACTGTACTTTAATTAAACATTGAAAGCTTGTGGGGTTTGGCAATGACCAGGATCTTTATGGAAAGTGCTATTATGTGGCAGGGAAAAGGTATGAAACAATAAGAGACGAAATAACTTCTTTAACTTTCAGTGCCATTGGGGAGTGAAACAATACATATGCATGCTATGGACAGACAGAAAAAAAAAGGGGGGGAGTAGGGAAGAAAAATGAAAGAAAAAAATTACAGGTATATTAAAGAAGGAAGTTAGGACAGCTTAAAAAGAAAAAGAAAGCTAGCTGACTAGTGGTGAATGATCAAACCATCCACACATCCTTTGTTTCCCCCATTAAGCTATCCCTGAGCGCCCTAGAATCTGTACAGGAAGCATGTGAAAAGGCCTGAACTAGAGATTTTTAAAATTAGTCAAAGGACCCTCCTTCTTTCCATAAAACGGTTAGCTTTTTATAGGTATTGGATGGCCTAAAGCAGTAAGCTGTAATGGATGTTCATATGAAATGACTCTAAGGCAATGAAATGAAAAATTTATCATGTATCTTCTGAATAAAAGATGCTTTCTCTTGAGCTCCTTCCTGTATTAGCAACTGCCTGTTGGACATCTGAAACTGGATTTCTCCTCAGCATCTTAAGCTCATTACGTCCCGAACAGAACTCATCATCTTTCTCCCCCAAGCCCTACCTCCTTTCTAACTCCCCTATTCCGGTTGAGAGCACCCCCCATCCTTCTAGCTACTTAAGATTCACAACCTTGAAGTCATTCTCCATTCTTCTTTATTCCTCAGCTCCCCCTACATTCAACCAGTTATTAAGTCTCCATATATCATCTCTCACCATTAATCCCTTTTTCTCTACTCACCAAACCACCTCACTGGTTGGGGCCCTCATCCTCTGTCACCTGGCCTACTGCAAGAGCCTCCAATTGTCTGATGCTAGTCTTTGACTTCTCCAATCTAACCTTCATACAGCAGCTAAAACAATTTTCTTAAAGCATAGGTCTGACCATGTTACACCCATGCACGAGCAGCTCAGGCTCCCAGACTGAAGAGTATAAGAACAAAGGTTTTAATACAATGGTGGATAGTCAGGTATCAAAATGAGTCTGAAAGGCTGAGACAAACAGATTGAAAGGGATAAATGTAAGGACCTATATTTCTTTATTTTGGTGTTACAAAAAAAGTCAGCATATGGTATACTTCTGTGAAGATAGTCTGATGAGAAATTAATAAAAAAGAGCCACACTCATATTCCCTCTCAAAAACAGGAATAAAAATGCCAGAAAGGATCAAAATTACTAAAAGATTTTACAAAACAAAACAAAACAAAAAAAAAAACCTCACTGAAGAACCAATGAAAAAAACAAAGAATAATTCAGATTTAATTTTTTAAAAAATATGGCTTTTAAAAAAGGGAAAATTTAAGAAATAACTGGATATAGAATATAAATCTTAGGAGGAGATGATAAAAAACTTATAAATAAGGAAAACAGAAGAGAGAAGTTAAATATTTTAACAGATATGGCCAAAAGCAGAATTCATGAAGTGGAAAAACAAGCATAGAAAACTGGATAAAGATTTGAAAGCAGTACAGAAGAAACTGATAAATTTGGAAGACAGATCTAGGAGAGGAAACCTCAGAAGTACTAGAATCCTGGGAAACAATGAAAAAGAAAAAAAAACCTCATCACAATATTTTGAGTAATTATTGAAGAAAATTTCCCCAAAAACCACCCACCAAAAAAAAAAAAAAAAAGTGACCCTATGAATAGAAATACCCAGCATCGATCCAACATGGATAAATTCCAAATTCAATCCTCTCAGCACATCATTATTAAATGATAAAACTAGTGAGAAAAAAAATTCAGACTACTAGAAATTATATACTGCCCTTCCCTTTCTCCTTTCTTTCTAATCAATCAATATCTTACCAGATTTTTTCTGGGGGGAAAAAAAAAAATTATTAGAAGTTAGAACACAGTTATATAAATGGAAAAAAAGAAAGAAAACAAACAAAAGTTAGTGTTCAGTCCCAAAATCGGTTTTCCAGGAAATCTAAACTTTCCATTTGAAGATTAAAAAAAAAATAAGTCATTTAGAACCCCAAAAGACCTTAAAGAATAGAGAAAAAGCCACACTTGAAAAGATCCTTTAAGGACCCTGGTCCTCACTCAGCCTCTCTGTGTTTTAATTTTCTTATATGTCAAAACGAGGCAGTTGCACTAAATGGTCGCTAAGGTTCCCTATGACTCTACATTCTGATACTGAATAGTTAATCACAGTTGAAGTCTTAAGACCTCTACAATCTAATAAAAACATATAATATTGGCTGAATTACTAAATGATATAGCTGTACTTGAAAAAGGAAAAAATGACCAACAACAACAACAACAACAAAAAAAAAAAAAAAAAGAAGAAGAAACGTAAGGAGAGAAAAAAAGGAAAGGTCAGAGGAAATATTTTAGAGATATTTACAGGCTAACTAAAAAAGGAACTATCGTTAAATTTGATTGAGTTATAGAAATAGCAAAATAAGGAATTTTGTATTCCTTTTGACAAAATAACAAAAAATGGTAAGACATGAAGATATAGGTAAAATACAACAAATGTAAGGTTAAATGTAAATTGACTTAATTCTCCAATAAAAGAAAGAAAAGAGGATATGGGTATAACTTAGTTATAACTTATCTATAACTTAATTATGCTATAATCCTGTCTGCACTTATCTGACATATAGCACATGAATTCTACTTTTCATTGTGACTAAATCTATGGGAAATTCTCTCCCAGTCCTCTTCCCAAAGAGGGTTACATGATGGGAGGTGGAGGGTAAGGGTGGGAGAGGGGGATCCCTTGCAGGTTAAGTGGTATAGTTTCTATCCCCCCCACCTTCCCAGTGGTATTTGTTAAAAAGACAGGCAAGACTTAGGAAAGAAATGTACCTTCTTCCTTTCACTGAAAAGGTGGGGGGACCATCAGAGTGGAAAGCTGTGTATGCAGTCAATGTGTTAATTTTACTTAAGCTTTTCTTCATAATGGAAGGCTCACTGGATAGGGGTAGAAGAGAAATAAATTTAGAACGACTGTGACACTAAAAACAAGAGGCATCAATGAATTTTTTTTGGAAGGCAGAGAATGACTGACACTGAGCCTCATTACCATTTAAGACCAGTACCCCCTTATCATTGATATCTGGTCTGATGGACCAATTGATAAGCACAGTGATATAGTCACCAAATTAGACCTGTGGAGGACATATAGCCTGGTACAGATAAGAAGAAGGAACAAATTTAAAATGCCATTCCAGGAATAGTAGAGCCTATATGAACACTGGGTTATGCTACTTGTTTTGTACAGTGCTTCTGAAAATTTTCAGCTTCAAGACTGATGTTAAGACCTGCTACTGGTAGTTCTCTATAATATTCTCATCTATACCCGGGATCCTGACACTGAATTGGTATGGAATGTCTCCCTATACCATTATTAGCTATTTGCTAAATGGAAGAAATAAGCTCGTTGCAAACCTTAAAGTGCCATATAAATTCTAGCTATCATTATCATCATCATCATCATCATCATCAGATGCCAGTTTGAAGGGGTGATGGTATACATGGAGCATAGAATGGAAGCAGCATGATATAACAAAGAATTCAGATTCTGCCTCTGACACATACTGGATGACCAGGAGAAAGCCAGGTAGCTTCTCACAGATTAAGACTCCTCATCTGTAAAATGAGGATAATATCTACAGTACTTAGATTCTGATATCCAAATGATATGTACACAAGGAGCTATGTAAATATCAGTTATTATTGTAACAGACTGGAAAGGAATCCATATTCCAGTGAAGAAAGTTTACCTCCACAAAAAACTAAGCTCTAATTATACAGCAATACAAGACATACAAAGCATTTTCCTCACAACAAGCCTATGCTTTGGCTTCATTGGATGTTACTGCTACTTTATCCTTAGGTTTTCTGCCTTAAAAACTCCTCTCACTAATCTAATGAAGCATCCTAAGTGTTTCTACTAGACACCAGAAGTAGAACTTACATTTTAATGATGCAAAGATATTACTTAAATATGCAGAAACAGTTCATCATGGAGAATGATACAACAAAATTACCACAGGGGCTATCTTCTCACAGAATGCACTACCCTATAATCCAACTCTGCATGTCCTTCTCCCATCATTCACTAATGCAGAAAAGAACTCTGTAACTTGGGAGAAGGAGCACATATAGTCAGAGCCTCATTTGAAGCTCAGAGGCACCTTCTTGAGATAGTGTGGTATAAACCTAATTATCCACATTAGAGCAACTTCATACTGCCCAACAGCTCAATAGCTATGTTCCTAGATATCATAATCTGCACATGACTTTTGGTATCTATTAGTGAGATATGAATTGGTTAGCATCCCTAGTCATATGATTAGGTCAAAGACCTAGGAGCAAGTCTTTGGGCCATATTCGTCCTCTTCGCTCTGCACATCCCATCTCACCTCCCATCCAGCTTCCCCTGTGGCAACTGGTTTCCTGCTTGTCTTAGCCTCTTCAATTTCAGTGCTCCTAAGAAACTCTGGTACCACCCCAACCTGATCTTTTGGGTTATACTTGCTTGGCCCCTTATATGGACCATGACACTTTTTACCCAGTCTTTGCCTAATCACTGGTACATATTGGCCATTCTCCACAATGAGGTACAATAATAAAGAAATTAAAGTAGAAATAAACAATTATAATATGATCAAAAGGTGTAGCTTTACAAGGGAGCTCAATAATGGTTTTCAAAGCCTAGATAAAAGAAATGATAAAAAAAGTAATAGATCACGTCATAGATAAACATATCAATGGGATGCAGCCAAAGAGGTACTCAGAAGTAAATTTAAGTGCTGATTGCCTCCATCAAGGGTAAAAAATAAACTTGAGTTGAGTGTGCATTCAAAGAAAGGAACAAAGTAATGCACCAAAGGAGGGAAGTCAGAGGATTATTAAGGTCATGACAGTAATTATAAGGTAGAAAGCCAGAGAATTGAAATAATAAACAAAACCAAAAGATGATTTTTAACAAGCTCAATAGAATTGGTAAATAAGTAGCAAATAAATTTTTTTTAAAGTGAGAGGATTTACAAAATATACAATGTTTTGTTAATTTGGGGCTTTATTCCTTTATTCTGCTTGTACTTGTTGAAATTAAGTTTATAATTTTTTTGGAAAAAAAGAAAAAGACCTGGGGAGGTTTTGTTTGATCGTAAATCAACATTATGAAGTGCTGTTGCTAAGATTTTCAACAATATCATAGGCTGCATTCCTAAGTATGACATCTAGGTGATAGTCATGTTCTATTCTCCACTGATCAAATAATATTTGGAATATTATGTTCAATTCTAGGGGCCACATTTGCACATTGAAAAAATTGGAGAAAATCTGGAAAGTAATAACTCAGCTGATTATGTGCTTCAAAACCATGTCATATAAGAAATGGTCTAAGAAATTGGGCATATTTAGCCTAAAGCAGACAGGGACATGATAACTGTCACTTTACACGATGGTCCTTCAGATACCTGATGGGAGACTAGGTATATATTTTTCTAGAAAGTTGAACTAAATGCTATCGGTAAAAGTCACAGGAAGACAGATTCCATCTGAATGTAAAGAAGAACTCCCCCAAATGATGAGAAATGTTTAACAATAAAACAAGTCATCTCGTGAAACAATGAGTTCCCATCCCAAGGAATAAGTAGGAGCTATTTGTCAGGGACATTGTATGGATTGGTTTCCTACAATGGGATGTTTAATTTGTACTAAGTTTAGTTGGGCTAGACTGCTTTCAAGATTCTAAGAAGAGTAAAAAATACCCTAAGATTCTAAAAGTAAAAATGGGATACATTTGAGAAGTCAGGTTTTGAAAGGTATATTTTAGACCTTAGAAAATGAATGAGGGCATAGAAAGCTGAGTTTCAAGTATGATACCTACTCCATAAAACCAAGAGGAACAAAAAAGATACAGCTGGGGTACATGCTGGAATAAAGTATACACAGTTTCAAAATTAAAAGGCGAAAATGCCTGCATAGATCCTACATCTAATGTTTACATAGCCTGCGTTTGAGTATCTGGAGAATTCTCATGTCATAGAGCACACCACAGGATTCACACAGTCTCAGAAAATTAGCAGTCACTAACCAAAACACCTAAATCATTAGCATCCGCTCCTATGAACATTTAGTCAGCACTGCAGGATCTGTGAACAGGTAGGTAACTCACCGGGTACAGATGACCATGCAAGCAATTCCCAGAAGCTGCAGCTTGGCTCGGGGCACCACTCTCAGCTTTAGGTAACGATCCACACATTCCACTGTCATATGAAGGCAGAGGCTTGTAAAATCCTTCATGGTGGCAACTTCTACTAGCCAGTCAATCAAAATGTACCTATGAAACAGCACCCACATCCAGAGTCTGCATTAGCAAAAACATTAAAAAAGTTATACTTCATAAAGCTAACATATCTCCAATACAATTTTTTTCTCCCACAGGAGAGAACTTTCTAAAACAAGCATACTCTAAACCCAACCTTGACCATGGCTGAATCAACCTGTGCAAAAGAACAAGCTATGGTCTAGGTGATTGTTTCCATGATGCATGGAGATGCTAAATGATTAATTTGGGTGAAACGATCAATTCCAAAGAGATCACAAACCTGAATCGGTCATGGGGTAAGCTTACTGCCCGCCTTGGACTGCCAGATCCTTCTTTTTATGCTCCATTACATCCGCAAGAAGACTGCTCAGTCAAGTGTGTCTAAATTCCTGTAAACTAGCTGTTAGCCTCAAGGCCATGGGTTAATAACCCTTTAACAAAGGCTAAAGGATCATTTTCTGCTTTTACATGACACTGACAAAACCTTCACTAGAGCTGGATATTCAGTTTGAAGTTCTACATTTCAAGATGGTTGTGTAAAAATTAAGAAAGTTAAGGTGAGAAAGAAATTCTTTAGGGAGACATGAAGGGAATACTTAGAGAGCAGTAATACCTTATTTATCTGGAATTCACTTATCCAGGAAACCCAACCAACTAGATCATAGCCCAGAACTAGAAAAAAAGTAATAAAGGTCTCTGGGCGGTCAAAATGATGGTCACAAAATGAATGAACTAAAACTCATGCACTTGAAAGAGCTCTTTGGTCTGCCACTAAGAGTACATACACTAAATCAATGCAAACAAGCTTAGTTTGGTCTCTTTGTCTATGGCTATTGTTGGGCTAGAGTGGAGGAGCTTTGAGAAACAGGCACATAGATGGGGAAAGAAGGGATGATAATAATAGACGGTCAAACACAGTCTAATCTTGAAGGAAACATCAGAAAAGTCACTAAAAAAGGTAGGGCACTTGGAGGCATGTAGCAAAAGAACAAACAGCTTTATATAACATACCTAAAAAAGACGCCAAAGTCGCAACATAATTATAGTGGTCTAATAATTGTTGGTCATAATAATAACCTAATCATGCATTTCTGAAAAGCTAAATTGTATTTAATATAATTTTAAGTGGGTAGGAAGTATGACAGATTAAAAAACAGCTAAAAATGTTTAAATAAAAAAAAAACCCTTTAAAGTGTCTCAGTTAAGTTGAAAACTTGATTTATGTGTAATCATTCATCCCTAATTATGCTGGATAAACAAACACTGCCCAGTAAAGAATCCAAAGAAAGCAGTTCTCTGCTTCCTGGGACCTCAAAGAATGCTCTGGCTATTCATACCTGAGTGCTTACCTCATTGTGTCATTCATTCCCTTCTGCACAGTGAAGATGCTCTCTTTACTGACAGGGTGAGAAGCCTGAAAGAGCTGCAACACCACCTCATTTGAAGATTTTGCTTCTAATCCAAGCTGGTTTCCATTTCCACAAGCTTTGGCTAAAGATAACTTGAGAAGAAAACACAATACCAAAAATAAGCCTGAAGGACACACTTGTAGTAATTCATAGTAATAAAAAGGGATGGATTTGGAGTCAGGGGCCTGGGCTCATGGTCCGCCTCACACACTTAGTGCAAGATGAGGCCAAGTCACCTCCTCTCATCTGTAAAATGTTGATATTAGACCAGATGACTTCTAAGGTCCCTCATAGGCTTTCTTGCAGTATCCTATAGCAGAAAGATTCCTGGGTTTGTAGTCAGAGGACCTGGGTTCTCATCTCAGGTGTGCCCCTGGACAATGCATTCACTTCAGCTGAAGGCACAGCGGATAGAGTGCTGGAACTGGAGTCATGAAGACCCCAAGTTCACATACAGTCTCAGAATACTTAGTAGCTGAGGAGATTATTCCAGGTGGTGTAGAGATTATTATTAGAACAGGGCATTAGGAAAGACTTAAAGATGATAGGACTTAATTGAGCCTTGAAAAGTTTAGAATTTAGACTGTCAAAGGGGAAAGGAATGTCCTCTTCTTGCCTTTCCACCTTTGGGTAATATAAAGAAAGAACACTACATGAGGAGTCATGTACAAGAGAGATCAGACTTGCTCTGCGTGGTCCCGGATGCTATAACTAGGAGCACTAGGTAGAAGTGGCATAGAGAAAAACGTAGGCTTGACTTAAGAAAAAAAAAATGCCAAAGAATTAGAACTATTTAGAGTGGAATGGGCTACCTTGGGAGGTGGTAAAATCTCCCTCCTTCAAGGTTTTAAGGCTCAGACTGGATACCACTTGTTGGGGATATTATGGAGGGAATCCCTGCTCAGTTATCAGCTGTACAAGATGGCCATTAAAGTTTTTCCTAGCTACTCGATGCTGTGCTTTTGTGAGTTAAGATGATCTGGTTTTTAACCCAAGAAGGGCCACTGATTTTCCACTCTTCACCTTTCTGAGCCTCTTTCTTTATCTGTAAAATGTGGAAAATATCTATTCTAGATAACTCACAGGGTTTTGTTAGATGAGAGATAAAATGTAACGATTAAAATAAAACATACTTAAGATACGTACACTGGCAACCAGAGTAAACAAACAGTAATGTTCTGGCTTCAGACGATTTTACCTGTGCTTCCCAACAGCCCTTGGTTGCATAGTCCCTGAGTTTCCGGAGGCTCTGGAGGTATCTTCCAGGGTCTGACATCTGTCAATGGAAGAACATCACCATGAATTTATGTCCTTTTTTTCTTTTGTGGAACTCAGGTGTGACTATACCATTTCTGCTCCCCATCCCCTTAAGAGTGCCATGACTCGGCCCATCAGCACCCCCATGACTATCTAAAAACCCTCAAATTCTGCAAAGTGCTGCCAGCATAAAACCAGAGTCCTCTACGCTACATCAGAGACATGGAAGGGTCTAGGCTAGGAGACGGGGAGGTTTGTTTGCCCTATTGTTATGATTTTTGCCGTATCAAAAAGTCCATTTTGAGTAAGAACACAATATTTTTCATTTTAAATCAATCAATAAGAATTTATTAAGCATTTACTACAAGTCAGGCAGAACATTAGGTGCTGCCGACACAAAGACAAAAACTGAACAATCCCTGTCCTCAAGGATCTTACACGGTATTGGAAGAAACATACACATAGGTAGAAAATGTACACAAAGTAAAGGAGGGTAGGGAACACTAGCAGTGGAAGGGGCACAAGGAAAGAAGATTCAAGGTTACTTACAGCAGTCCTCTGACTACTTTCCCAAAGGAGGTAAGAACTATTTAAACATCCCTGATTAGATGATGCCTCAAACATTTCAAGTGCTTCTTTTCTTTTCTCTTCATCCTAGGAATAAGTCAAAGCATAAATTCTCTTTCACTTAAGACCAGCCACATATTAACTTTTATTCCCACTTCTATTTACGTTGATATGCATGTTACATGTAGACTATTCTAACAAGCAATTGGATATCCATCCTTAAGGGTCAGCATGATTAAGAACCTGGAATGAGTCACTAAGGGAGGCTATGGAATCTCCATCCCTGCTATCTTTAAAAAGTCACCTTATATGGAATGAGCAATTCATGGCTTATGCAGAAAGATTTCCATACCTTTGCAAGCTGAGTTGGGAGCCCTTCCCTCAAGCAAAGCCGAATTATCGATACCCTGGAGAATTATACTACGTGGTGACAGCTAACTGGGATGTAATTGGTGATGCCCACAGAATCTTTCAGGGAAGGAGTATAAGACTGTTCACCCTTCCACTAAAGCACCTCCAAACTGCTCTGCTCTTTGCAGTCTTGTGCTGGGTTTATGACTTTTGTCATCTCCCTTCCTATCAGCTTGGACACAGTCACTTCTTGTTGCTGCCTGGGTGCTTGTCTCTAGTATCCACACTTGCCTTACCACCCTCTGGCCTGCCATGGGCTGAAGATCAGTTAGCCAAGCTTGAAGAAACAAGGCCCGGAGTGGTTTTGGCACCTTTTATTCTCCTGCTTCCACGTGTATGTATTATGTATATGTCACCAGGAGAAAACTGTACTCTGAACATAGTTTTAGAATTTCAAATCTATGCATAACTGGTTAACTTACCTCAAAAAGGCTCAAAACTTTACCCAAACAATATAGTATAGATCCTTTATGAACCTTAAAAGAAAAGGAAAGTCAATTACTTCAAAAGATCGCTTGAAAATTTTCCCTCAAAACCCCTGGCTGAAGAGAGTACCTAAGCTAGGTAGGGGTAGAGGGCAAGTAACGAGGCAGACCCCTTCCTAAGTGTGAACACCACAGCTCCGTGGGGCTATTGTAAACTATGGGCTGTTCTCTCCCACGTTTAAAGGAAGAAGAAAAAGAACTCCAGTGTATCCCATTGCCTGTCCTCTAACTCTATTTTACAGTTAAATTTCTCAAATGAATATTTTACAATTGCCATGTAAATGTCCTCCTTACCTGGTCTCTGTTCAACCCCTGGCAATCAGGCTTCTATATCCATTCCACAGCATTTCTTCTCTCCATGGTCACTACTGGACCCCAATCACCAAATCCATTGGCCCATTTTCAAACCTCATCCTTTTTAACCTCTATGCAGTTGCTGATAGAGTAGACTAGTGACATCAAACTCACATAGAAATGGGGGCCACTAATTTGTACATAAGGCCCCTTGCAGGGCACATATTGACTTAATTTTAAAATGAAATGTTACCTATATTTTACTATATTTCTACTAATTTTGTTAAAAATTTCCCAAGTCCATTTTAATATGGTTCTAGTGACTCGGGAGGGTTGTGGGCTGCATATTTGACGCCTCGGGAATAGATGAGTCACATCTCCCTGATGCCATCTCCTGCCTCAGCTTCTGAAACCATCCTTAAGCAGGTTCTCTCTTTCTACTCATCTGATTGCTTCTTCCCTATCTCCATTCCAGTCTCTTACTCCCTCCCATCCCCGGGGCTGGAGCCTCACTGGATTTCTTCTTCCTTCTTTGTGCTCTCTTCTCATGTTCTCCTCAGTTTCATTAGCTTCCACTGCCACTTCTTGGCAGAAATGGCCAGTTCCAATCTTTCACAAACCCAGATCCAATGCCAGCTCTATAGTGACATTTAACATACTGCTGTAACTTCTGACTCAACATGTCCCAGAAGGAATTTACTCCCTCACCAACATCAACTGGCCCTCCCTTCTGACTTCTATTACTATTAATGGCACCACCGCTCTCTCCATTGATGGCTCTCCGCCATCTTTGACTTCTCATTCTCCCTGGCCTCTCAAACCCAATGAGTCTCTTAGTTGTAACCATTCATCCTTTACAAGGCTTCTTTCTTTTTGATTCAATAAACATTAAGAGCCTACTATGGCACAAAGAACTGTCTTAAAGATCCCTTGCTACTGCCAGTATCCTGGTCCAGGTTCTTATCATTTTATTCATGCCTGAACACCATTACAGTTATAACAGTATTGCAACACCTTTCCCTCTAATGTATGTTGTACATCGATGTCCAACTGATTTTTATAAAACACTGCTCTGATTTCATCATTTCTTTGCCCCAAAATTTTCAATAGCTCCCCACTGGCTACATGATCACTTATCAACTTCTTATTTGGCATCCAAGAAACAATTCAATTTAACCTCAACTTGGTTTTTTAATTCAATTGAACAAACATCGACTACTTGTGTACAAGGAACCTTAACTTTCACTCTTCCCCTACAAGAGCCCTTTTCCTCAACCCAGTGAGTCTCCTGAGTGTCCCAAGAACACACCTTTTGCTTTCCCACTTCTACTCCTTTGCTCACACCATCCCTGTTCTGTTGATAGATACAAATCCTGCCACCTCTTCAAGACGAAGCTCAAATCTCCCAACCTCTACAACTTCCTTTTCTGACAAGCCAAGGGTCTTTTTCCTCCAAAGATCTTTAGCAATTATTGTCTATGTTTCATTGACTGGCTAATTACATGCTTGAGCCATCTTATACAGTTATTTTAAATGACTTAAGTATTTCCTTTTTATACATTTGTGTTTTATCTTTCCAGCTTATAAATTCCCCATGTCAGGGAGTAATCCCTTTAACTTTTCTGTAACTCTCATAATGCTGGATACACATCAGGTACCTAAACATTTGTTGATTAGACTTTTCAAGCTTTTATTCACATTCCTTAGGGTCCTGGCTATGCCAGCTAAAACTGAGATATTATCTACTCTGAAGCACTAAAAATAAACATTTATCCAATATTCACTACATGCAAATTGTTATTTTAGATTTTTTAAAAGCTTAAGGTGACCTTCAAATGAAAGGAACTGTATTTTTTTTATGGTAATTTTCATTTATTTTTTGTTTTCAACATTTACTTCCACAAGATTTTGAGTTCCAAAATTTCACCCCATCTCGCCCCTCCCCCCACCCCAAGATGGCATGCATTCTAAATACCCCTTCCCCTAGTCTGCTTTCCCTTCTGTCTCTTCCCCCCTTCTCTTATCCCCTTCCCCTTCAATTTTCCTGTAGGGCAGGATGGATTTCTGTATCCCATATTTCCCACTTGCATGAGAAAACATTTTTTTTAAACATGTGTTTTTAAAACTTTGGGTTCCAAATTTTCTCCCTTCCTCCCTCCCCACCCACCCTTCATTGAAAAGGCAAGCAACTCAATATAGGTTATACGTGTGCAGTTATGCAAAACACTTCCATAGTAGACACGCTGTGAAAAGCTAACTCTATTTCCCTTATTCCTATCCTGCCCCCCCATTTATTCTATTCTTTCTTTTGACCCTGTCCCTCCTCAGAAGTATTTGCTTCTGATTACCCCCTTTCCCAAACTGCCCTCCTCTCTATCATCCCCGTATTCTCTTGTCCCCTTACCCCCCTATTAGGAATTGTATTATAAAAGTGTGGATCCTTACTTTTTGAAACTGACATTCTGCTTTGAGGCTTTCAAAGACTACAGCTTTACAGCAGCTCCCAGACACAGACCATGGAGGGCGAATAAATAGCCAGATAAATGGAGCAGCATTAACATTCAGGCGTTCCGTTAAGCTGAAGAAACGTGATGCCTTTAATCCATTCACTTCTGCACGACCCTCATCAGAAATAGACACTGGAATAATGGACAGGAAAAAAAATAATCTAGTAAGTGCTTAATAAGGCTTGTGGCTCTGACCTGGCTTGATATGAAAACATGGAAAGATCTTGTTTATCAGATGGTCAAAAGTTTTAACTATTTCAGGAAGAAATTCTGGAAACATCTATAAAGCTATACTGTTAAAATAAGTTCCTTGGCAAAGAACATCTAATCAAAGCCATTGAGAAACATCAACAATAAGGCATATATTCCCGGGCACAGATAACAACATTAATTTTTAAAAAGTTGATCTACAAAGACTGAGAACATTTTAAGAAGTTCAAAATGGGTGTTATCTCTTCATAACATTTTACAATCAAAGATCAAAGGGGGGCTAAATGCCTCTGATCTATACCAGTCTCCCATAAACTTGTTAGAGACCCTGGCCCTGCTCAGCTGAACACTTACAGCCTTCATTGTAGAGGTAGGCAATCCCCAGCTTCACCGCAGCTTCAAAATTACCACTTTCAGCAGCCCTAAAAAAAGAACACCAAGGGCTGATTAGAGATTTTATTCTTTTAAAGGTTAGTGTTACAGAGGCGTTTGAAACCAGCTACAAGTCATCTTTTGACTTAAAATTGCTCCAATTCACTTGGACGTAAACCTTTGGTTCAGTTCAAGTCAAAGTGGATCTGATACAACATGTATGTTCAAAAGACAAGAATGAACATTTCTTTATTCATTTACACTGTAAGTGCCTATCAGGATGATTAAGACTAGGGCTAAGTATAACATATAGGGATACAAGAGTAAAAAGTATAGCCCCTTTTTGCTATGAGCTTAAAGTTTATTGGGGCAAACTAGATATAGGGCTCAACTGAAGGAGAATTATAAAGATATAAACTCATGGGTGGTAACGTATTGTGGTCTATAAATGCCGAGGAAACACAGCAAAGAAACAATAAAGCAGGGGAACGATTTCCAGAGAAGACTTAATTTCCAAAGGTTTCAGTAACAGTGCATCAGTTTAGGTTAATGAAGACTAATTTGAATAAGGGAAGTTTTATTTGCAGATTATTTTTAAAACACACATAGTTTTATTACTTTTAAGTGCCTCTACTAGACTAAATAATTTTTTTTTCTTTTTTCTTTTTTTGATTAGGCAATGGGGTTAAGTGACTTGCCTAGGGTCACACAGTTAGTAAGTGTTATGTGTCTGAGGCTGGATTTGAACTCAGGTCCTCCTGAATCCAGGGCCAGTGCTCTATCCACTGCGCCACCTAACTGCCCCTAGACTAAATATTTTCATTAAAGAATCTTTGGGTACCTGTTTAATTAGATAACAATGAACATTTCTATTACATTTTAAGGTTTACAAACATTTTCTTCATAATTCTCCTCACAGAAGGTCTTTAAGCAAAGCCTAAGTGACTATATGTCAGGGATGCTGTAGAACAATTCTTCTTCAGATGTACTGGTCTAGATGGCTTCTAAGGTCCATTCTAACTCTTGAGATTATCTACAAAGCCTTCTACAATCCGGATTGTGCTTACTTCTCCAGACTTAAAGTCTCCTGAAGGTAGTGGCATTTAACATGAGCCTTGAAAGACAGTAGGATTCTAAGAGGTGGAGGTGAGAAAGAGCATTACATGCATGGGGAATAGCTTGCGTAAGTGTGGAGGTAGGAGATGGGATATTATATATAGGAGACAACAAATAAGTCAGTTTGACTGAAGTAAAAAGTGCATGAGTTAGAGTAATATATAAACAGACTGGAATGATAAGCTGGAGGCCAGTAAGGGAAATGATGAGGGCCTAATGGAGGTGAAATTGCCAAGACCAGGCAATCGACTGGATATGGAGGATAAGAGAGTAAAAAGTCAAGGAAAACTCCTAGGTTGCAAAATGAAGGTAAATGGGAAAATGATGGTGTTCTTAAAGGTGTGTTTAGAGGGTAGGATAATGAACTTGTATTTTGGACAGAGTCTGAGATTCCAATGTAACATCTGGGATTCTGGGTGGAGATATCAAGAAAGCAGCTGGGAATATATATTTCCCCAGATGTAAAATAAGGCGTTTAGACTAGGATGTCTCTAAGGCCCTTTATGCTCTAAAATTCTGATTACTCTGTGGGTTAGAAGTTTCTACAATTGACTGAAACAACTGGCCACTGCTGAATTTGGCTATTGAGTTTGAAGGATCAGTGGTTTAAAATGATACAACAAAGGTTACCTTTCAAAAAGCTTTAGGTTCTCCGGAGAAGGCCACATCTCCCGAAAGCTTGCAGATGCCCACACACTGGCATGGTTATCTACAAGATACTTAAGATGTGGATGGACCTACAGAAAAAGAGAAAAGATCTCACTAAAATGTCTTCCTAAGGATTCTTTTAAACAAAGTATAAATTTACTCTTAATTAATTTGAAAGCAATTCATTAAGCATTTAGCACATGCAAAATAATGCTGGGTGGGGGTATACAAATACAATGAAGACCTGGTCCTTTTTAATTCAATTAATATTTATTGTCTACCAAGTTTAAGGCATTGAAGATACAAATATTGAAGGGAAAAAAAGAAAAAAGAAAAAGTCCCTGCCATTAAGGACTTAATTAAACATGATAAAACATATATAAGAAAACACACGCACACACACATATACATATAATAACCATAGTGTATAGCAAACATGCTAGGAACACAAGTACAAAATACTATATGAGATCAGAGCAAGGAAAGATCATTTGTGACTAGGAAGCAGGAGGTTATCAGGAAAAGCTTCATGGAGGAGGTAGCATTTAAATTGGGCTTTCAAGGACGGGTAAATTTTCAAAAGGTAGAGAGGTGAACAGGGAAGAGAGAGTAAATATTCAAGGCACAGGGAATGTTGTGGACAAAGCTGGTGGGGGAAGGAAGGGAAAGACTAAAGAGAACACACTTTCACTTAGAAACTATTTGGGTTGCTTACCCTTTCCGGGCCTCAGTTTCCTCATCTGTAAAATGAGGGGACTGGACTAGATGGCTTCTAAGGTTCCAATTCTAAATCCCATGATCCTAAATAGTTAATCACGGTTGAAATTTTAACCTAAGAGCTTCTACAGTGAGAAAAAAAAATACTCAGTATAGTATTGAGTAAGTTACTGAATGATACAGTTGGACTTGAAAAGAAAAAAAGATGATGAATAGGGAAAAAACAAATATAAGGATGTAACTAAAAGGATGTTTGAACAAAAAAAAAGATTGGGAAGAGGGTGAGTTAGAAACAATTACAGATTTTATAGCACAAAACACTGGAATTATGTTTAGAAGTTCTGTTAAATGTGAAGATTAGATCAGATAGCTGTCAAGGTTCCTTCCAGCTCTGAATGTTAAGAATAACATTTGTGGCTTGAGAATATATTTTTGAGTCGAGTAGTAGAAGTAGAAAAGCAGGAAAGTTTCCATTATTTCTAACAAACAACTTAATGGCAAAAACATCAAATCTGGCAATTATAAAGTCAAATATGAGTGTAAGCTCTTACAGATCTCACAAAACAGGGAAGGCTTGGAGCATCAGCTCGGTGATGGTTTATAAATTGGCAATCTAAGGACAAGCCCAGCTAAGTTCAGAGACTTTACCTCATCAGAAAATTGGACACCAAGTGATAAAGTTTTTCAATCACTGTAACTCATAAGAACCATCTACTAAAGCTTGGAGGGGCTATCATGTGCCTTGATGGGTAGTACATACACAACTTCAACTTACTATATGAAACTTTTCAAATCCCATGAGGTCTGAAAATATTTGTTATGGGATGAGAGGAGGCGATTATGAGCTATAGCAAAAAAAAAAAAAAAAAAAAAAAAAAAAAAAAAAAAAAAAAAAAAAA